CACCCGCGGGATCAATGCAGATTAATGGGTTTTTTTTGAGTGTGTATGCTGTTGGTCGCTGATGACCTTTACAGCGTCACCGGATTTGGGGACGGCGAGTTCCTAAGGGGACCTGAAGCCGAGAATTGGCGAGTGCCTCTAGAGGTATTCCAGGCGGATGGCATTTCTCGTCTCCGTCCGGAGCCTCTAGCCCACGCGAACCTGAAGGGGTCGGCTCAATTAGAGGGCATCTCTAATACTCGGACCTCGGCTCTAGTTAGCCGTTGTCGTAGGGGGCGAAAAAACGACCAGGTACTGTACCTGCTATAGCGTGTCGTGTGTAGACCAGGTCTTCGCACTCTTAACCTACGGGTGCGGTGTCTGCCTAAAGCTAAGCTAGTATGCAAGTTTGTTAGCTGTGTAGTGTTGGTGCTTGTGGCCTGGGTGGGAGGAATCGGATGATTGATTTGCGGGTGCGAAATATCATTGACATAATTTGTACTGATTTTTAATACTCGTAAAGTTCGCTGTGTCGTTGTTTAAATTTCCATACAAAACTTCTTGACATTTGACGCGTATTGAGATTGATTTTGAATAGTGGAAGGCCAGACCCGGATTCGAAATGTATGTATGACTTCGAAAGGGAAGAATATGACAAAGGCGTCAAACGGGTAAGTTGTTAGATAAACGCCTAAGTAACGGACATCCTTTGATTATCACTAGTGGTAGGATCTTTCTACCCCAAACACAGGTCAGAACTTAACTTTCCGAATACATGAATAAAGTTGAAATTGGATTGGCTATTCCGCCGTTTGAATTTTACACATCAAAAATTCGCGAAACACGAGTAATACACGCAACCGACAACGGACGTTGGAAAATAATTAATAACCATTATCGTTGAGTGCTCTCCGTTGAAACTATCGGACCAAGGATAACTTGTGTGTTTTTACTATATTGTAGTATTTCAGCCCAATATAATAGTGCAGTTCCATTTTCAGAGAGAAATTTAGCCATTTAGCAATAATAAAAATAATCTTTATTCAGACCAGCTTAATTAAGTTACTTTATGTTTTATAAACTAATAGAAGCCCGCCCTCGCTTTGCTTCGGTGTAGAGCTGTAGTGTAGACTAAAATTACTCTTTACATAATTATAAAAAAAAAAACTGAAAATGGTATATTTGCCTTTTCCAAACTTCTATTGACATCACGTCACTCAATTGTTTTGCCTTCCCGGAACCTCTCCACTAACATTTCAAATTTATGGTATGGTATTAAAGTTCAAATTGACTTTTAAGTATTATTACGAATCGTTTGTATGGGAGTATAGAAAAGTGCTGTTTGGACTTTTTCAGGCATTTTTTAAATTGTTCTCCGCGTAAGAACCATACTCGTACTTCAAGGAATATTCTAAAAAAAAAAGGTTCAGCTGTTCTCGCGATATCGCGATTTGCGCTTAGCAACACATTCAGCGATACATTTTTATATTATAGAAGATACAGACCATATATGAATATAAAAGACAATCTTTAGCATCTGCTGCCGAACTAGGATTTTCATCCAGTGTTTTAGCATTCAGAGCGCCTCAATCATCATATCAGCCGTATGACGCCCACTGCTGGACATAGGCCTCCCCCAAGGATCTCCACAACGATCGGTCCTGCGCTGCCCGCATCCAGCGTTTTCCCGCGACCTTCACCAGATCGTCGGTCCACCCTGTAGCGGGTCTTCCCACTGAGCGTCGTCTGGCACGCGGTCGCCATTCGAGAACCTTTCCGCCCCAACGGCCATCGGTTCTCCTCGCTATGTGTCCCGCCCACTGCCCCTTCAGCTGGGCTATTCTTCGAGCTATGTCGGTGACTTTAGTTCTCCTACGGATCTCGTCATTTCTGACTCGATCACGCAGGGAAACACCAAGCATAGCTCTCTCCATTGCCCGCTGGGCGACCTTGAGCCGTCCCATGAGACCCATAGTAAACGACCACGCCTCACTGCCATAGGTCATCACTGGCAACACACACTGGTTAAATGAAAGAAGTGAAATTCATGCTCAGGACTTATATTACAAGATAGACCTATATGATTTTTATTTTAGTAAACTATTAAAATAAAAATTGTGAAATTGTGAAGCAATGTACCCTTTCCACATGAGTAAAGTTCTGTTTACACATGTATCTTTTCAGAGTGGATACCTTGTATTGGTTGGGAAGGTGTGGTTATGATTATGTCAAGAGATGGTAACTTTGTTCCTCTAATGGTAAATGATCAACATGAATCTCTGGAGCAGCAGAAGAATCATTAATCCATAGGTGACTAATAAAAAAGGCTATGGTGTGATTCTGGCATTATTCTCTAAGCTTAAGGCTTTCCCCCCATAGGCGCGTTATTATGGGTCGATAATATCGGATGCATTAAAGTGAAAATAGCCTGCCTTACATCTTGTCAATCAAACTTCAAATCATATGTCAAATAGAAAGGTGTAAGAGCCATTGTTTCAAAAAACACCAAAATTTATGTCTCTTCTACGTTGTGAACAATACAAATCTTCACAAATTGAGTTGCTTAAGCGCCAAAAAATTTCTCAAATCTTCATGAAATATAAAGTAGATCGACGCAGAAAAAAAAGAGATATATTAAACACATTTTCGAACACAAAAAAACCAAACACTTTGCCTTTCCACTGTCGAAATGTATTTGAAATTTGCGATCTCGTTTTAAATCACACCGCTGATTCCGAGGTGAAAAGTGAGTTTGTTCTTACAGAATAATATTGCAGAACAGTAAGGCTTGAGCTCCCTTGTGGTATCATTCATTAGCTAATTATATTAATATTTATTTTATTGTGATAGTAGTCCACAATTAATTTACAACGAGGTTAGACGCTATCGCTCCTTACAAACACCAAACTCACTAAAATTAATCTTTCAAGTGAAGAAAACAGTACAAAATAAATAAAATACTGTTTATATTCTTGTTTTAATTTTTAAATAGTTCATCTCGTTTCCTTAACTAATAATCCAAAAAAATGTTTTATTAAATGAGGGGTGTGCGTGAAAACCTCAGAAAAAAAAACCTTCTACTTTTCAATTAATGTAATAGACACACATTACGTTTTAATTAATAATTTTCGGACAAATTTGTTACTTATTCCTTATTATTTTTTAATAATATTTGACCTACTGACTAATTTCTCAATTTAAGGATACGGTCTTGATCTTTGTACGACTTCCATCAAAATTCGACCGATATTATTGTTTTCCGAAATTTATTTGAGATTCCATGAAACTAATTTTACTGGTTACTACAACCTCGTAAAGATGATGACAACTATTTGACAGCTTTTTGGCAGACAGAGTTTTGACAGCTCTGTAAGGTATCGGCATCATCATATTTGTATGGATAAATGTAATTCGTTCTTACGTCCAATAAGGGTACTGTACCCCTAGCACGAACTATTATCGAATTCGAATAATTTACAAACCGAAATGTCAATGTCAAATTTTGTATGGAAACTTGAACAGCAGCGGCACAAAGTACGTAACGAGAACTATTTTTTAAAAATCAGTACAGATTTGACAATGACATTTCGGACTCGCAAACTTTACGAATTTGATTTTGGTTCGTGCTGAGAGTACTGCTTAGTTTTCATAGAAACTTTGACGATGCGATACTATAAGGAGCTGTAAAAAAATATTTGCTTGGGCCTAAGGATTTCCACGCTTACGTTTATGTATTAGGGCATTCAGGACGAAGAAATCCACGCGCAGTTCCGAGTGGCCTCGGGCGCGAGGCTCAAAGAGCTGCTGATCGCGATAACGCGACCACTAGACGCAGCTCTGTGGACAGATTTATGCAATAACACTCAAACAGTGCGAGCTACATTTTTTTATTGCCTTCGAAGGCAGACGTGTGTTCGGGCCACCTGATGTTAAGTGGTCACCGTCGACTATGGACATCAGGAATACCAGTGTCACTGCCATGCCGCTGCCTTTGTAATATGAAGACGAATCATACTTAAACTGCTTATGTTTTGATAATCAATACTATTATCCTACATTACAGGCCTTTCTTGAACTAATGTTATTAATATATTTTTTTTATTTATGTTCATTTACATCTTCAAGCAGCTTATATAATCTGTCACGAAATTTTGTAAACTTCCAGCGCCGGCCGTCGACATGCTCACGTAGACTGGGATACAACTAGAACATTGATGAAAATCACGCCATGCGTCACCGAACAGCAGGCACGGTTCATACGGTGTAGGTATGTCAACAAACTCCCATGGTACTCCATACAACACTAACAACTGTGCCTATGCACGGCAAATGTTACGTAGATTTTCACGCTTAAAAACAAATGTGAACTAGAGGCCTTATTTGACGAATAATTCAAATATAAAACTAGCATTATTATAATTTTCGCTTTTATATATTTTTTGCTGACTGTTATTAAAGTTTTTCTTAAGATCAATCATACATTCAACATTTTATACAATATTTTATTGGTCCTTTGGCATAGCTTTTATTAGTGGTACAGGTTTTAAAACACAGTATCATTTTGAATTTGTAATATTATTTTGTAGTTTGGAATTGCCATTCACAAACTCTATGACAGTAATAAAAATACTTTTAAAATTGTTCGGCTTATTATAAACAGGCTTGTAACTATATTTATTCTTAAAAATGGTTCTATACAGCGTAACCTCATCCTACAGCCACTGACCGCCCTCATATAGCCTAATGGCCGGAGGCTACATCTTCACATGGTGTTTTACAACGGACTCAGTCAATAGAGCTTGCACAGTTTTAATCGTGAAAGTAGTTCGTATTTACTCTTTCGTTTGATCCTCAGGCGATGATAACGTATGTAAATACAGACGTTACATTACTGCATTAGCCTTTCAATATGTGGAGTTGGATTTGAAACAGATTAAACTTTTAAACAAAAGTTTATCGAATTTAAATAATTCGCTTCAAACTCATTCTTCGTTTCTTTGGAGGAGCTCAACATTAGGAGGTCGCATGAAAACATATTTTAGTGACTAGATAATATTTAATTAATCATGAAGAATTGAATTCACTAATATCATAAAAATAGTAGATAACATCATCAGCAATGATCCCTTGAGATAATATCCTGAACTCCTCAAAACACCGAATCTCTTGGCGTGATGCAGCAGTTCGATCACAGAATCTAGGGTCTCCTCACCGGTCGGTATGATCATGGCTGGTGGTAGAAGGAACCCGAAAAAACCTGTATCCCTGAGCTCATAGCAATACGCCAAAGGTACATCAAGTTGTTCCTTCACCCATTCTTCGCTTCCACCGGTAGCGGGATCTGGAATATCACTGTCTTAGTTATTATCAGTTGGTTAATATTAGACATGAGGAAACAGTACTTTATGAAGTAATGTCGTACATTTCGTACCGCGTAATATGGCATAAGAGTATTGCTTAGTATTCTAAACATGCCCTATAGCTGACATGATCCATCATGCCTACATTACATAGCCCGTTATCATAGCATTATGACTGTTAATGTACTGAATGTGCAGGTGTAATTTGATAGTAATATATAGACGTTTTACTATAATATTATACTTGTACAAGCGAGGACTTGTTTCTAATTCGGCATCGCCACACGCTCCTGTAAGGCTAATGAACGCAAGTTATATTTATTAACAAAATTGATTTCCCGTCATACTCACACAGTACACTAGGGGGACAGTACTTACAGTACGCCGCGCATAGCACCGAACCTCTACCGATTTGCCATGTTAATGTCATATATCTTGCCTAATTTTGCCGGGTGATAGGTACTGTTACAGTACGCGGTCGTGTCATGCATTACTTACAGTACTTACAAATGTCTAAATAAAAATACTCCCGCGAATTCTTTTTTTATATACAGAAACGCAGAGAGTACGGACAGCTGTTCATCAAGACTCAGAAATAATAAGAATCGTTGGATACTAGGACTGTAGTCTAGCCGAGACCGAGGGCCCCCTTGGTGGCAAGAAACACTCAAATGAAGTTTTTATAAAATACTAGTCAATCACTAAATGGTGTCTGTATTCTCTGTCTGTATAATTATTTGGACTTACATAAAACCTCTACTATGTTGCCTGTCACGTATTCAGTTCCATATCTTACTGACAAGGCTCCCATTGCCCGCCTGCCGACGTTAAGCTGAAACAATTTCATTATTTTTAATATATCAATAAATAGAAAGTTTCTATGATGTTGGAAATCCTGTTTTTTGTTTCCTGCAGTAGTCGAATGCCTTTGATCTAGTGCCAAATGCCGAAAGATGTCTACTTCTACTCTACGTGTACTCTGTAGGAAGGCCAAAGGGGAAGATCTTCCTCCGAGCTGAATGATTGTAGCTCGGGGCCCGAAGGTCTAAGAAGAGTCATTGAAAGCTACGATAGAACATTGAGGCTGATGCTGGTTTGCTGTGCATAAGGGATGATGGTTGGCGCGGCGATGGTTGAAGGGTGCTTGGTGCTGTGCTCAATCAAGAGTCCCCAGTGCAGGAAGGCCAAAGGGGACAATCTTCCTCCGAGCTGGGTGATGGTAGCTCGGGGGCGCGTGTGGGCATGGGATTGCCACCAAAACACCAAATCATCTGTTTCATGCTGGTGCTGCTTATATAGTATGTATTCTATCAAATACTTTTTGATGTGTCACATCTTTCCTCTCGCTTTCCTGCAATTTGTGGGAGTGATTTCGTGAAATTGGACGGAAGTGTGTAACAGCAAGTCGCGAAAGCGCGCGCTATTTGATTTGATTTAAAACATAATGTTCAAATGGCTTATTCCTTCTGTAGTAGGTTTCATTTCTTTTTTGATGTGTAACATCTTTCCTCTCGCTTTCCTGAGATTTGTGGGAGTGATTTCGTGGAATGGGACGGAAGTGTGTAACGGGAAGTCGCGAAAGCGCGCACTATATGATTTGATTTTAGAACATAATGTTTAAATGCCTTATACCTTTTGTTGTAGGTTTTATTTCTTTTTTTACTAATATAAGGTAAGGTTTCAAATGTTACACATCATACGCCACTACTGTAACGCTCGCTCGTTTTTTTTATTGTGCAATGGATTTATGGTAACACGATGTACAATTAAAAATTGCTCTACGAATGTTTTCAAGATCTCAAATTTACGCAAATTCAGCAAAGTTAAATAAAAATTTGCAATGAATTCTCCAGCGTGAATTGTAGGTTTATCACTAATAGATCAAATTCACAAATTCGTGAAATGATATCTTTTTATCGGTAAGATATAACGGTTTAAGGTTGATAATATTGCCCTTTGTTAAAACGTTGATAGATAGCCTTGTACTGGTTGGACATTTTATCAGACGAAGCTAAATTATGTTATTCCACTTATACTGAATGCGTTATACATGTGCACCTGAATTTACAAATGGAAGTGTCTCAATAATATTATTAGCCTCAGTGATGGTAATGATTTTTTTGTTTGCGATATACGTGGTTCTTACCGCTTCAAAATAATTTCCGAGTGGCTCTGAAGTATTGCCAAAGGGTATCAAAAGCATCTGTCCAAAAGAGTGAACTGAAAGGTAGACATCTATTTGATCCCCGATGCTCCTAATAAAGCGGGATAAGCTTCGCGTTTCTGGTTCAGAAAACGGTCCAGAACCAGCATAAATCTCAGTGGCGGGATTGGTGCTTGCTCCGTGTTCTAAAAAAGAAAATGAAATTGAAACAAAGTTTCAGTATTTGTTTTCTCAAAACTAACTTTTATGTAGTCTGAACTGTTATCGTACTTTCGTTGCTTCTATTTACTCATGCTTTTTTATCTAAAAAAGACAAAAGAGGTTTTTATAGATGAAAAAGAATAACTTTGGCAATTATGATGACCCATCATATAAAATGGCGATATATTTTTTATAGTCTAGAATGCGTTTCTGACAGGTCGTGTCAGTTCCTTATGGCGACAGGATAAAGTACACTTAAGATCTAATAAAAAAGAGGTTCGAAAATTAACTCTAATGCTATCACCATAAGGAACTGACACGACTTGTCAGAAACGCAATCTCTGAGCGGCCGGACTATAATGTTTAGAATATACTTACGAAGCCAGTTGCTATTCCAATTCCTATTTAAATCGACTCCAAATTGATTTCCTATTGGTCGCCTATTTTTGCGCCACATTCTGTTCTGGAATATAAATAAAGTACAATGATTAATATTTCTAACTTTGCTTAGAACTTCTTGCCTATCTAAAAGGTAGCCTTGTTGAGATGCAATGTACTATGCTGTTACTATTAAATATGTGTTTTTATATAAGACTAGCGGCCGCCCGCGACTTCGTCTGCGTGGAGTTAGTTACTTGCACATACTTTTTGACCCTGAAAGGGGGTTTATTTCTAAAGATACATTATTAGTACACGTCAACACAATCTATAGAGCATACATGTTAAATTTCAAGTCTCTTACTTCAAAAACAAAGGACTTTCATACAAACTTCCCACGTACTTCCCCCCTTAGGGGTGGAGTTTCGTGATAATATGTAGCCTATATGTTGACCCGACTTCTTAATAATATTCGTGCTAAATTTTAAGTAAATCCATGTAGTTTTTGAGTTTATCCCGGACATACATACAGACAAACATACAAAAATTCTAAAAACTATATTTTAGGTTTTGGTAGCACAGCCCAAGTATTCTTTTAAAAAAATATTTAATTTACAGTTTTGATTTTCCTACCATTTTATTGTATGTATAGATGACAGTAAATACTTAAAAACTCACCTGTTCGTGAGACCAGACGTAGCCATCAGGATTGGTGACTGGGAACAAATACCAATCGTAGTCACGTGCGGCGGCTTTAGTTAGTTCATCATCGCTCTTCAGTAATTCATTAGTAATAAAATTAACAGTTGCCGGAGAAATCCATTCCCTTGCATGAATCCCACCTTCTAAGAACACGGCTCTTCTGCCAGGGCCATGAGAAATTTTTAGACCTCTTATAGGCCTGCCTTCGTAACTATGTCCTGCAGTGATGGCAGTGACTACGTTCGAGTGATTGGATATGAGATCATCTAACCACGCGTAAATCCCATCAAGTGTTTGATATTCGTACCAGTTCATGCTATTCCTGCCATCTCTCGAATAATCAGTGACGGTTTCCTTGTCGATATGCCTGCGAAATTCCTAAAATAATTAGTTTAATAAAACTTAAGGTTTTTAACAATTGATAACATAATTGTAGATAATGTTTTTATTTTGCAAGAAGTATTTTATGAATGGAAGAAAATCATCCTAAATATTTGCCCATAAACCTTAGTCAGAATATTTAATCTTTAGATTACCAAATAATTCCTTTTGATCACCTGATCTTTGACAAGATTATCTTCCAGTATTGATATTATTGGTGAAACTGAGACTACCAAGAAATGGCTCTACACTACCATAATCGGCTTTATCCTTCGATCATTAGTACATAAATCCTTGAGATGCCTTTAATTATTGACAGAGTACTAGTATGATATGCTGATTTATTAGTTTTAGGTACGTTCTATGGGACACTAATATGTATTTGTATTAATCAGTGTTTATAAATATGTGGTATTAGTATTACATTTATGGTGGGTCTGATTCGTACAAAATAAAATATTTTATGTATTTAAGGACGTTTCGCATCCTTTGCAGGAATGCGTCGTCAGAATAATGATTTTTTATTTACTTTGTCGAGCTAGCTTCGAAAGACTTTTATTGAGCGTTCGGATATTTCATTAGAAGATTTTAAAACTCTATTGTATATGCTTGAATTTATTAGCTTATTTAATTAGTAAAGTAAAATAATAGAGGACTTTATTCAATTCTTTTTAAACTTTGACTTTATTTATTTGACCATAACTACCGTTAACTACCACCGGTTCCAAAATTGGGAGATCTTTTTCAGAAGAACCGGCGAAACAAACTCGGAGAGGCTTTCTATCTCCTTCTTATATTAAATCTTGCAAACAAAAAGAAATAATAGTATCTGTTGGTCTTGCAGTGTGTGCTCGGGGTTGGGATTTTATGTTTTATATTGGGTTCCCAAGCTGGTGGTATATACCAATCATCATCCCTTTTAAAATTTGGATATTTCTTAATCTCAAAAGCTTCGCGTATCATCCTAGGAATGAATCGTTGTTCAGTTGCAAGTGTGGTTTATCAAATCTAATGTAATGGTTTGGTCCCCCAATGCATGTTCGCACACTGCAGACTTATTTTCGCGCCCGGGTTTCCTATCTATGTAACTGCGCGAAAGCCTACACAATAAAGTTTTAAAAGTCTTCCACTGAAATACCCGAAAGCTCAATAAAATCCTTTCGAAGGTAGCTCGACTAAGTAAATAAAAAAGCATTATTCTGACGGCGCATTCCTGCAAAGGATGCGAAACGCCAATAAATAAATAAAATCAGTGCATCTAAACCGTTGAAACTTGTTTTATTTAATGAGTGATGTGCGTGAAAACCTATGAAGCAAATATAGCATATTTTTTGTGAATTTAATTTGATTTGATTTTGAGCAGTCCCTCCTTTTTATTTTTATAGAACATTATACGGATAAACTGCTGCCGATTTAGTGTTAGGTTTAAAAAATTAGGCCCGTTATGGGCGAAACCAAATAATAATTTCTTTGAAATAAGATGTTATTCGGTATAATAGTAATAAGTTGCTATCGTACAGAACATTCACTGAAACGGTTTTTTTTTCTTCAATGAAGTATTTGTGGCGAAAAGTTAGCAGTAAGTTGAGTCGAATCAAGTAACTTGCAATCAATAATTATTTTGCAGTACCATAACATTTTAAGTCTACTTAACAAAATCTATTGCTATTTATGTTTTTATCTAATATGGATTATTAAATGTCAAGCAACATAACTATAAAGTGACTTACTCTTGAACATTTGGTATTGTTATGGTAAAGTCGATCCCATGTTGTTTGAGAAGCTCTTCAAGCTTGAGTTTTTCATTAGGACTTGACAAAACTACAACATATTCTGCTAAAGGCGTGGGACTGTTCCAAAAATCCAAATTATTGTCTTCCTTTGTTTGAAGATCTTGCAAAACTTTTACATGCTCTTCTGTTACTGGTAATATTCTATATAAAGAATAATTGTCATAACGAACCTTATCACAAAACACGTTTGAGGATAATTTAAGAATCAAAAATAAGAATATTTGAATTTTCATTGTAACTTGACTCTTCGTCATAAAGACTGCTTAATGAGTAAAATTAATTAAATATTATCAATCAACATATTACCTACGTTATCATAGCCAATTATCTAAACACTTATTTTTTTATTGTAAGGCCATTTGTCTACTACTCTGGTCATCATGACGTCAATGTGAACTAGAGGACGACGCCGAAGTAATGCCACATTTACTTTACCCGCTTGTACACCGCATTCCCGTCAGGTCATATTGTTCATGTCTCGGTGAAATTTTAAGTAATGAAGACCATATCAATTTTAAAAGTATATTGTTAAATAAAAAGTTAAACATATCGCTTAGTAGAAATTACATTCATTTTACTATTTTTTTTGTTTAAAACAACTTTCTAGCAGTTACATGCTTATTTTTTTTTTATTTTGATCCTGTTTTTTTATGTTTTATTGTATATGTTGGTACAGTGCTTGTATAGGTAACACTTATTTATATTATATTTTTACAGGATCCAGAAAAAAAAATAAAAAGCCAGAAAACTTAGATATACTATAAAGATTATTATTATTTAACTAATGTTGAGTAAATCACATTATTCTAACTCTCAATTATTACTTTTTTAATCGTAAACATCATTAAAATAGAACATAGCATTATCAACAATGATCCCTTCAGGTAATATGCTGAACTCCTTAAGACGCCGAATCTCTTGGCTTGATGTAGCATTTCGATAACAGAGTCCAGGGTCTCTTCACCGGTCGGTAAGATATTGCTAGGTGGTAACAAGAAACCAAACACACCCCTATCTCTGAGCTCATAACAATACGCCAAAGGTACACCAAGATGTTCCTTCACCCATTCTTCGCTTGCGCCGGTAGCGGCATCTGGAACACCATATCAGTCAATCATATTACTGGACATATCATATTTTAGACACCAAATCGAACAAAAAGAACGGATAATAATCTTAAAAAATATGAAAAATATTTATTCCGTAACCAAATTAAATTAACATAAAAGTTATTGAAGCATTCTTTTAGGTAAAAATATACCTGTATTAGAATGCCTCGCTCTCTCGTACATCACAACTCGTTTACAAAAAATAAATATATATGTAAAAGTAAAAAAACTGACTGACTGGCTGACATATCAAATCGTGAATTTTAGCTTGTATTCGATCAACTCGAAACTCATTATTTATATTTGAGTTCCTACTAATATTAGATCTGTAAAAGTTTCTTTAATTTTGTTTTTGTATGTTAGTCACTCAATCACGCATAAATTTTTGAACGGATTTGGATGAAATATAGTATGCAAATTGATTATGACCTGGAATACGACATAGAATACTTTCATCCCCGAAAACAAGATGTTTGTGTGATGAATACGAGTATTTGTACTCCAGCTATGGATGTTTCATATGTATTTATATGTAAATATACTTGTATATGTATTCTATCCGTTACCCTAGTATTCCATAACACAAGCCTTACAGTGCTTACTTTGGGGCTGGGCTAATTGGTGTGAGTGTTAGAAATATATAAATTATTTATTAATGTAGCCACAAATGTTTAGTCGTCAGGTCAAAGACAAAAAATCTCATTAACTTAAAAAAAATATAACGCGCCTGAAGTTCATTTTTTTTTCAAGGGCTGATGACGGAGTAAAGTATATGAAATTTTAATTAGTTTGTCTGTTAAATTTAAAAAAAATAATGCATACTTATATTTATTTTTTTGTGTCAATCAACCAAACATTTACAATCATCAGAGTTTGGAAGTGGGGGATCGTGACATCATGCGACATTATAAATCAATATAATCTCTGTAATCTATTGATTTATTATAATCTGAATTAAGAAAAAAATCGTGTCCAATAGTTTTTGATAAACTACATGATCAGTCAGACATACTAATGCCTACTCTACTATTAGATGGCATATAATGTGTAGGCATATTTAATTAATATTTTGACTTACATAAAACTTCTACAGTGTTTCCTGTCACGTATTCGGTTCCATATCTCACTGATAGAGCCCCCATCGCCCGTCTGCCGATGTTAAGCTGAAACAATCCAATGTTTTGAATATAAAAAAAATCTTTGGACATGTTATCTGCTCGTATACAGGAAGTATGTAGGCAGATTGCAATAACATCTACATAAATTATGTGTAGAAGTTACAGTCGACGCTGAAAGCCACAAAACTGGTAACATGCTGAGTAGGAATATTTTCATTCAATTCGCTATTGCATTCAAGGATTGATCAGGCGAAATGTCTATTGAAATATATAAAAACTCCATTTTGTGTTATGTAGCTATTTACCTTCCCTTTTGTAACGAGTGCTATGATGAGGTGCCAAGCTATTTTAAGATTAATTTTGGTATTTGTAACGATTTTTCGATTTTGATATAAGTATTTAGATATTTTACCGCTTCATAATAATTCCCAACCGGTTCTGTAGTATTGCCATATGGTATCAAAAGCATTTGTCCAAAGGAATGGATCGAGAGGTAGACATCAATTTGATCGCCAATACTTCTGATAAACCGGGATAATCCTCGCGTTTCTGGTTCAGAAAACGGTCCAGCGCCAGCATAAGTTTGAGTGGCGGGATTGGTGCTTGCTCCGTGCACTAAAATTAAAATTAAACAAAATCGCAAATTTATAAATAAACTTTTTTGAGTACTTAGTCTGAATAGAAATGGTATTAATTTTGATTCTGATAATTATAGTAACAAATGTTTTTTCCAGTCAAGACAATCAATGAATGTAGCTGACATAAAAGGCGTCCATAAATAATAGAATAATAATAATATAATTTTACGATTTTCATTAAATGACTAAATAATTTATAATAATACGCACAATGGTCCAATGATTAGGACTAAGTGCGGAAACCTCCCTGAAAACTAAAGTGACGATAACATATTTTGAATAATTGGAATATCTCACCAAGCCAATTGCTATTCCAATTCCTATTTAAATCAACTCCAAAATTATTTCCGATTGGTCGTCTGTTTTTACGCCACATTCTATCCTGCAGAAAAAATAAGTTACATTGATTAATATGTCTGACGCTATTGATTAATATACACTTCTGGACACATCTATTGGCCCACCTTTTATTTTCAGTTTCGTTTGGTCCTAGCTAAAATTTTATATTAGGTCGAGCAAAAAGTTTTATGCAGTTTTGAACCTGGCACATTCACAATTTCATTCAATAGTCTTTTTTTGAATTTCGAACACAAAATTTAAAGAAACAAAAGACAATTTGGAGCCTGTTTGTTGATATCAAACAATCGAATACTAAGAAAACTTCGTTTTATTGGTTTACTTGGATTTAATTCTTGAAAAAGTGATTGATATCTTTGGTTTTGCAACAAACATTACTTATTCTTAACATTAAGGTGAGGTTCTATCAATAATCTATGGATACTTCACCTGAAGTCGCCGCCTAAGCTGTGGCACTTATTCAGGCCGGACACAGTCAAAGAAACGTGAGTGCTCAACTTAATTTAAGTCGATCTGCGGTCTGAAATGTTTATCGGAGGTACCTAGAGACTGGCGGCTTTGTTTGTCGCCAAGGAAGGCCACGATCTCGGGTCACAACTGAAAGGCAGGATCGATTCATCGTGAGGACCAGCTTGAGAAATCGTCACCTTACCTCCATTGAGATACAAAAACAAATTCGCGACTTCCACGGAGTATCTATGAGCGCTCGAACTGTTCGGAGAAGGTTAAAAGAACGCGATATGGTACCACACAAGCCAGCTAATGGGCCCAAACTAACGCGAGCCCACCGAGCAGCGCGCCTTCATTTCGCACGCAGTCATTTAAATTGGACACAGCAAGATTGGAGCCGTGTACTCTTTTCTGATGAGTCTAAAATTGTGTTACATGGCAATGATGGAAGGAAGAAGGTCTACCGACGTAAGGGAGAGCTTTTCGCACAATGCTGCTTTGAAGAGAGGGTTGCTTATGGCGGTGGCTCATGGACTGTCTGGGGCGGTATATTCGCGAGCGGCAAAACTCAACTTGAGGTTGTTACAGGACCACGGCTGCCAATATTAAATGCTGAAAGGTACATTCGTGAGTGCTTAGAACCTCACGTGATACCATACGCGCACTATGTGGGCCCAAATTTCCTTTTTATGCATGATAATGCAAGAGTCCATGCGGCTGACATCGTCAGGGAATATCTTCGGGATGTGAACATCACAGTTATGGACTGGCCAGCCAGAAGCCCAGACATGAACCCCATTGAGCACATGTGGGACGAGCTAAAAAGACGTGTTAGGGCTCGTCAGCCAGTTTGCCCAGACGATGCAGGAGTTGAAAACTGCCATGGAACCACCAGGAATGGGAGATGATCCCTCAAAATTTCATAGAGCGATTGATAAACTCTATGCCTAATCGTATGAGAGCTGTGGTAGATGCCCATGGAGGCAACACGCGTTATTAAATTAAACCTTTATTTGATAAAACATGTTTTTTATTCAAAAATCGATTGCCTTTAACAAGGCGCATATCCGACTTGATAGGCGTAGCTCCATGTCGTATGGTATTCTGAACTCAAATTTAAAACAATACCATCGAAAAAGATGGTAAAATGTATCAGGTTTAAAACTGTATCAACAGTTTTTGTTCAATCTAGCAATCATATTTCCGTAGGGGCCATCGAAACCTAAACTCTAAGGTGGGCCAATAGATGTGTCCAGAAGTGTATATTATATATATATACTATATATATATTTATATATATACTATATATATATCTATATATATACCATAGTTTAGTTTTGAATTCGCTGTCTTAATTTTAGAACTCACATGTTCATGAGACCAGAGGTATCCATCAGGATTGGTCACTGGGAATAAATACCAATCATATTCACGAGCAGCGGCTTTGGTTAGTTCATCATCGCTATTTAGTAATTCATTAGTAATAAAATTAACTGTTGCTGGAGATATCCATTCTCTTGCATGAATTCCACCTTCTAAGAACACGGCTCTTTTTCCAGGACCATGTGAAATTCTCAGGCCTCTTATAGGTCTGCCGTCGTAACTATGTCCCGCAGTGATGGCAGTGACGACGTCCGGGTAATTGGCTATCAGATGATCTAACCACGAGTATATACCATCGAGTGTGTAATATTCGGACCAGCTCATGGTACTTCGGCCATCTCTCGAATATCCCGAGACGCTTTCTTTTTCTATGTGCCTGTGAAATATCCAACATATTTAGTTTCGCCTCTTTCAAGATCATTTTCATATCTTCTAGTAACATATGACGTTTTCAAATGAAAGTCAACTCTTTAGATATAAGAAGCATAAAACATTGGCGAACTCAGTAATTTTCACATAGTATGGAAGTGAAATTCTTGTTGGCTTCTATTAAAATATGGATTATTTAACAATTTTGATGCATTATAACCATGAAGTTACTTACTCTTGAACATTTGGTATTGTTATTGTAAAGTCGATCCCATTTTGCTTGAGGAAATTTTCTAGGTTTGGTTTTTCATTGGGACTCGACAAAACTAGAACATACTTCGTTGAAAGCGTGGGATCATTCCAAAAATCCAAATTACTCATTTCCATTGCTTGAAGTTCTTTTAAAACTTTGACATGCTCTTCACTTGCTGGTAATATTCTGTATAATGAATAATCGTCATAACGATTTTTTTCAGAAAACACGTTTGAGGATAATTGAAGAATCAAAAATAAGAATATTGGTATTTTCATCTTGACTTGACTGTCCGAAATTTGGACTGTTTAATGAGTAAAATTTTATCATACAGTCTCAATAATCTTAACTGTTACATTATCAGGGCGATAATCTAAAACGTGATAACTTTTATCGTTAAAATCGAGAAAATGGCAAGTATTGTAGAACTATTTCACTGACTAGATTAGATGGACAAGGGAACCGTTACCCACCACGCGGTACCAGTGTATAAGTGCGTTTTAATTTCTTTTTATGTATCACTAATAATATACCATTCTGGATAACACACTACATGTGTACACACTACACGTTTCGATACACAAAATATCTAATATTAATTTTACAGTTGAAGAAGAACACACAGATACTTTGGGACTAGGCTAATTTTTGTGAGCGTTAGAAATATTTATACAGGGCGTAAAAAATCCTTTAACGAAGCCGAAGGCCAAGTATTTTCCACATCATGATGATATTTTTTTAGTCAAAGTCAATTTTTTTTTCAAGATTTATACTTCAATATTTTCAAAACGTTGTTTAGAAACTTTTTTTATCGACGCACTTACACACTCATACACACAGGCACATTATTTGCGTAGCGCCACAGTAGCGCACCGTACTATAACATTGCTTACTGAAAAAAAAAATGTAAATTAACTTAAAAATACAGATGATTCCTACGTATAATATTTTGTAATATAACTTGTTTGGGTGTACAGAGTGCGTAGTTTTAGTCTTTGCCATAGGTTTTTTTATATCTTGTATATAATATGCATTATTTTCTGCACTTGTATCTGTAAAATAGGCTATCATAAAATATAGACAACGCGTTAACCATATCTTTTATAACATTGAAAATTTACAATCTTTTAATGAACCATATCAATGATAAGATATAAAACAATAAAAACACGAATATGTGGAATGTTTTGATAATAGACTAAGTATATTAACAAAATTATATAGATTGGGAAATGATGATATTATGATACGAAGCAATGGTACCTTAATTGAAACGCATTTAATTTTGTTAACTTTATTACTTAGTAATACTATCATGACGTTATTGATATTATACAGATCTATAACAAAACTGTAAATGTGTCAAAAAATATTGGTTTGGACGGTAAAATGCAGATTAAATATTAGCCGTCATTTGTACGCCTTTACTTTAGTAATGTGTTAGTGTATCTGTCTGTCTATCTGTTATCTCTTCACGCTAAAAACCGACGTAGACGAAATTTGTTATAACTACATATATTTTGAGTCACGGAAATGGACATACAATACTTTACATCAAAGAAATTATCCTTTAAGGAGGTAATAAGGATGGTGGAAAATTTTATGGGAATTCAATTGACACAACGCAGAAGAAGTAGCGGGCATCAGCTCGTACTTACAATGTGAGAATTAATATAATTTTTACCCCGGAATAATGTAACGTAGGACACGGCTATACCAAAATCGTAGTTGATACTTCCAATCAACGTGATCTTCGCTCGTGCAGAAATCTTACACTACAAATTCCCGTTAATCATTTTGGCTTTGGATCCAAATCGTTCACTATTACTGCCATACGCCTGTGGATGCTCTACCACTAAGCAGACGTAGCACTGACAAGAAGTTTGAGTTCAAAAAACTTGTGCCTGAACACTGCCTGACTACGTGATTTTTCCTTATAGTTTGCATCGATATATATATATATATTTATTGTATTTTATGTATGTTATGCATATGTATATATATATATATTTATATGAGTATTTTATATATGTGCATCAATTTGTATTTAAGTATTATTATTTTATTGCTGTTTTATTGTGTTGATATTGTTCATTTTATTAAATTTTTAGCAACTTTCCTCTATCGCCATACTATTTTGTCTCCAACAATTATACTGGTTGACTGGTAGAGAATGCCTATGGCATTAAGTCCGCCGTTTGCTTATGTTTGGCAATAAAGTTTTAATAAATAAATAAAAAAATACGTCTTATACTTAATAATTTATTGAGTCATGAGACAAAGGAATCATTTTTTTTTTAACATTAATCTGCTCTATTTGTGATTCTAACAGTTTTCAGAATTAAAATGTGTACGCCGAGTCATTATAATCAGTTCGTTCGTCCGAAAGTTTTAGGTAACAAAAGTATTTGACGTAAACTTTCAGGAATGGGTGAAACGGCGGCTGTCAGCTCATAATATATCAGAATAAAATTCAATAATTTTATGTCATATCTATCACGGTATTTGTATTAATTAATGAGTTGTCTTTAAGAGTATTGTTACTACAATCCGAATTGAAATATTTTTAATTACTATTGTTTTAACTTTTATTCCTATTTTAACTTTTTGGGCGTTGAATTAAAAAAATATTTTTCCTTATTTTTCGAGGAACGAACCTCTGCGCGAAATTTAAGCAGTCTTGGGTTTTTGCTGGCCGTTGATGAGTTTTGTGAATGTGTGAATTCAGCCTTTCTCATTTTCAACCGACATCGAAATAGGAGGAAGTTCTCGAGATTGTATTTTTATAAATTCGAATTTAAATATAATCTATTTTAAAATTAAAAAGTTAAGGTAAACCTAATGTGTTTTTTTTTATTATTTTTATTTATTTATGATCTGAATTTGAATTAAAGTATTCAAACACATTTTTTTCACTTTTCAATTAGGAAATAATATGGTTAGTAGGTATATGATTCTAAAACGTTGCTAATATATATAAAATTTTGTTTTCATTACGATGTATTTATGGACAAAAATCTACGTCACGCCTGGTGGTAAACGGTTACGGTGGCATATGGTACGCCTACAACACCAGGAGTAATATACGCAATTTGCCGACTATACCTAATGTTCTTCATGCCTTTTTAGGGTTTCTTACCCAAAGGGTAAAAATGAGACCCTCTTACTAAGACTCCACTGTCCGTCTGTCTGTATTCATCATCAGCCTATTAATTTCCCCACTGCTGGGGCACAGGCCTTCTCTATGGATGGAATAGGGGGATTGGGCCATGACCCACCACGCGGGCCCAGTACGGATTGGCGGGTGCTAACGACTGCAGATGCAGCCGGAACCAACGGCTTAACGTGCCATCCGATGCACGGAGAAGCTCGAGATAGTAATTTTTGGTCACCTAGCCAATGACCGACCACTGCGAAAGTTGCTTCAGTTCAACGATCGCAGCCGAACGCGCTAACCACTTGCGCCATCGAGCTTCTCCGCCTACTACACCAGGAGTAATATGCGCGCTTTGCCGACTATACCTAATGTTCTTCATGCCTTTTTAGGGTTTCTTACCAAAATGGTAAAAACGAGAACCTCTTTCTAAGACTCCACTGTCCGTCTGTCTGTATTATAATATTTCCAACACTCTCACCAATTAGCCTAGCCCCAAAGTAGGCTTCTGTTATGCGATACTAGGATAACGGATAGAATACATATACTGATGTAAGTATAAGTATATTTATATGGAAATACATATTAAACATCCATGACAGGGGTAAAAATGCTCGTATTCATCACTCAAACATCTGCCCCACCGGGATTCGAACCTGTCCTCTCGAGTAAGCGACATACACGGAGGTCCTCGTCTGTATGTATGTCGACGGGCTGTATTTTATGAAGTGTGATAGCGAGACGGGTGAGACTGATGTAATTATCACAGACGATGTATTTCTTTTGCCACTATCACAACAAATACTAAAACAAACAACAATAAATAAAATAAATTTAGTTTTAACGAGTTAATGCACGAAACTTTATTTATTTATTGACGTTTCGCAGCCTTTTCAGGTCTGCATCGACAGAATACTGAGTTATGTGCGTGAAAACCTAAGAAACAAATATGTTAACCATACAATAAATATTTGAGTACGGCTTCCATACAACAAACGTGATTTTTTGCCGATTTATGCTCGATGTTAAATTCTTTAATATTCACTTTAAAAATAAATGTTGAAGGGATGGCTCCCATACAACAAACGTGATTTTTTGCTCGATATTACAGTATGGTATTCCTTTGGGAAAATCACAACAGGGATCTCATTCCACAGCTTAATTGTACCTACGCGGAAAGAAATGCCTCTGAAAACGTGCAGTACGTGACCTACTTGGTTAAGTATGAATTTCCTGTCGATGGTCACCGGTACGATGGTACATTTATTTTATTCATTTATTATAATGCTATCGCATACTCAATAAAACACGTAACTTTGACAAGTATTAAATTTTATTGACGTCGCGTATCGCCACGCCACATTTGAGTTTTTTTGTTTAAGGCGCAAGTATAATTGTTTGAACTCGCAGCGAACTCGCAGGGAAGAAGTGGAGGTGGGCAAGTCACGTGGCTCGCAGAACGGATGACAGGTGGAGTCGAGCTATTGTGGAGTGGCGGCCTAGAACAGGATGCAGAAACGTTGGTAGGCAGCCCGCAAGATGGTCCGATGACATCACTAGAGTAGCAGGACGAAATTGGATCCAGATCGCACAACACCGAGCAAATTGGCGCACCATGGAGGAGACCTATGCCCAGCAGTGGGTGGATAAAGGTTGAAGAAGAAGATACTTGATTGGTAGCCCCTATTCGGGTGCACGAAAGAGATTGCTCAATTTCGGGCACCCGATGCAATAAAAACATTGTTTTACTCTCATTCGGTTACTGGAATACAGTTAAAGGGCCCTGCGCCCGCGTTCGGGTTGAAAAGCGATGTTAGATTGCGGGGGATTCCCTCCCAATTTGCGAGAAATAATTTTTGGAGAACATTTGAAAGGAAAATAATATCTGGTACTACTGTTTGAAAGGAAAAGGGAGTTGGGTATCCAAAACGTAAACTGTTCGAATATGGGCGTAATCGGCTCCATTCATTAACTTTTAGTCGTTTGTCCGAGTTCCATAATTTGATCGTATACGAGTTTACGAAAAAGTGTAATTGCGCCTTTAATTTAGATTACTCCAAAAGGATTTTAAATCATAAACTTTAATACAAATGCTGCAACCAAAAGCGCTGATCCTTTTAATACATCCGCATTGTTCATGTAACCGAATCTTTTTGCTTGATGTATCAGTTCTAATAGAGAATCCATGGTTTCCTCACTGGTCGCTAATATCTGATCTTGTGGTAGAAGGAATCCAAATTGTCCTCTATCCCTGAGTTCGTAACAGTATACTAGAGGCACATTAATCGCTTCCTTTACCCAGTCAACGCTGCCTCCCGTAGCTAAATCTGTAAGAGAAAATTATGAATAATTTTCTATACTTATAATAGAATAAATGTGCAAAGCACACTTATAATACCATTTTTGTAACGATGTTCTTTGTGTGTTTTAAAAAAGATTTTTTTAGAGCTGTTAATCATATGTGTTAATTTTATTATAGTCATCACATACGACCTGTCATCTAAACTGACAACCAACTTAGACCGAATATTTTTTTTAAAGAAAGTTGAATGAATGTTGTTATTTTTCAAAAACAAAATACAAAACAGTGAGTTTGAGTATGGAATAAAACGTAACAGGCGAAAATGATAATTGAACTAAAAAAAACTAAACTAAATTAAATTAAAAAAAATAATGATAACTCTTCCAAATTATTAAAATTTTATTTGGATCATTATGGATCACGTTTTTTGTCTATGTAGACAAAAAAAGGCGTGATCCAAATAAAATTTTCATTCAATTTACAAATTTTCATTTCAATCAAAAGCAGATAATGTTTTCTTTTATGCAAGGAAACTATTAATCAATTTAGATCGACGTATAACTTAGGGATTTTGAACTTCAAGCTCGGGCCACTTCATTAACACAACATTTTCTCTTTTATTTTAATTATAAAAAGCAAAAAATTAGAATAAACTCACATATCGCCTCAGCTATATTTCCTGTAACGTATGGTGTTCCATATCTTACTGAGAGAGCACCCATAGCCCGTCTTCCAATGTTCATCTGAAATTATTTGAAAAATAATTTGATAAATCTTGCATAAGGAGGGTTGAATGACTCAGGATGAATTTTTAGATGATTATTTATTTAATCGATTTAAATTTGAAAACTCTACTCATAGTTTCGCCGCCTAATCCTAGTTTGATGATCGGTATAGATCATTTACTTTTACTTTCAGACCAATTTCATTGTAAGCAATAAGATCACTTAATGAAATTAAATGTAAAATTGATATCTTACCGCATCGTGATAATTCGAAACTGGATCTGTAGTATTACCAAATGGTATCAATAGAAGCTGACCAAATGAGTGAAACGATAGATACAAATCGATCTGGTCACCAATATTTTCGATGTACGTTGACAAACTCCTGCTTTCTGGTTCCGAAAATGGACCAGGGCCAGCATAATTGTCTGCTGCGGGATTAATACTCGACCCATGAACTAGAATAAGAGCAACTCATTAGTTATGATTAATGGAAATACACCAAGATAAACGTTAGTTATAAAATTATAAATATTAAAGTTGTCATTATTATTTTAATCGCAACCTTTTGTGAATAGAATATTTTCCGATTTTCTCTCAAATTTGTTATTACTTCAACCATTTACATTAGTTCTCTCATCATCACAGTTGATTTTATCTCTATTTATCGTAAGAGAAATATTATTTGAGTAAAGTAATCCAAATACTACGTTACTACTCCAATTTAATCAATGAGAGGATAAAAGACGAAACTGATGCAGTCAGTAATGTAAAAAAGCTTATACTGAAAAGCAAATGAGTTAGAATTTTTTTGTTAGTTAACAAGAGTTTTTACAAAGCTCTTTTGTCTCTTGTCTGGTAAAATGTTGGAATATGTTGGCTTAAATATCATAAAACTTACCAAGCCAATTGTTGTTCCAGTTTCTATTAAGATCTACACCAAAAGATGATCCAATTGGTCGTCTATTTTTACGCCACATCCTGAACTGAAATTTAATAGTTCACAAAACGTGTTACCTTTTAAATAGGCAAAATACAATCTGAACTCGCGAGCAAAAGGTTCCTTACAAAGTTTGTTATTTGCTGAAACGCTGAAAATAATCATGTTCCATATAAAAGGACCCACTTTTGTTATTATATCAGCTGCAAGGAATTGTTTACTAGTAACGATCCAAAAGATGCTACAGATAGATGGACAGACAGCGCAGGGTAAATCTATTACTTCCGGATTTGAAAGGGTCTCATTGTCGTCTATTTTTAACTTTGCCAAGAAACAAAACTATTTTTTTTATAATTTTGTATTCTACCAACATTACCTGTTCATGGGACCAAACGTAGCCATCCGGATTAGTCACTGGAAATATGTACCAGTCATAATCACGGGCTGCGGATTTCGTTTCTTCATCGTCGCTACTTAGTAGCTCGTTAGTTATAAAATTGACAGTTGCTGGTGAAATCCACTCCCTGGCGTGAATACCGGCTTCTATGAATACTGCTCTCTTGCCAGGGCCATGAGATATTTTTATGCCTCTGATAGGTCTGCCTTCATAAGATACACCTCCTACTATTGGGCTGACAATATTTGGATAGAAGGCAATCAAATTATCTAACCACGCATAGATTCCATCGAGAGTGTAGTATACATTCCATACCATACTTCTCTGATCGCTTCTTACGTTCTTTTCAACAATTTCCTTATCAATATGTCTGTAAATAAGAAAATATTTTTAACCTGTTCCATATAATATAAACAAACAGTAAGATAATGTTTTAGTTTATTTGGGGTAGGTACTTTCAAAGCAATAAGTACAAGCCTCAATTATTTGTTTTTTTAATACAGCAATAGAACTAATGACAAAACTTTAATGCTACATATTATTAAGTTACAAATATTTGATTTCGTTGAACTTTATTAATGAAATATTCAAATACTTACTCTTGTACATTTGTGATTGTTATTTCATGATCAATTCCGTGTAAATTCAGATAATCTTCAAGTATTCTCTTCTCACTAGGACCCGCCAATACCATAACGTATTCAGCATCAGGTATGGGGTCGTTCCAGAAATCAAGATGCAATTCAGCATTTTGTATTTCTTTCAATACACTAATATGATTTTCTAATTTTGGTAGGATTTTGTACAAACTGTAATTATCAAAGCGAAACTTTTCACCCGAAACAATTGAATAGAACAATAAAATAACGAATAAAATTAATCCGCTTCTCATTGTGACTGTTTATTTTTGTCTAGACGTATATTATCACTATACTTGTACGAATTCATATATTATTTTAAAACTAATTACCTATATTGATAATGATATTGACTAACTTAAAGCTCCTGCACACTAACATTTTGTCAAGCCGGGTCTGGGCTTACGCAGCGCTGGCGTCACGTCGTCGTCGCCGCGGCGTCATTTCAACGTTTTTTGCGTACAAGTACAATGCAAGACGGCCAGCGCTAGTGTTGTGTGGCGTCGTTTCGATGTTGCGTGGACACTAAGACGTGGCAGCGACACGTCGTCCTAAATCAATATAACATATTTCTTTCTTAGGTTTTCACGCACACCACTCATTTAATAAAACAAGTTTCAACGAATCTATACCGTTTATTTATTGATGACGTTTCACATCCATTTCTGTCTGCGTCGTCTGAATTATGATTTTTATTAACTTTTTCGAGCAACCTTCGAAAAATTTTTATTAAGCGTTCGGATATTTCATTGGAAGATTTTTAAAACCATTGCCTTTGTATGAATTTATTAGCTAATTTAATTAATAAAGTACTTTATTTCATTATTTTTTATAATTTTGAGTTTATATATTTGATCCTTACTACCGTAAACTACCACAAATTCCAAAATAAGGAGAGGGAGAACCTAACTCAGAGAGGTTTTCTGTCTCCTTCTTATGTTTAATCATGCAAACAAAAATAACTACTGATGGTCTTGTATCTGTTGGTTAATATTATGCCAAAAATCCACATAAAATTTACTATGAACTGATTACAGTTCAAAAATCAAAAGAAAAGCCCGCTATGCAAATTAATATTTGCATAGCGGGCTTTTCTTTTGATTTGGTGTTCCCATCAGGGAAAGTAACGTGTAAAAATGATTACAGAAAATTTTCACTGCATTTCGGTGGTGTTGTGTTATTACGGGTTATTCCAGGGCTCCAAGGGGAAAGAGTACAGGAAGACAAAGTGAGGATGGCTAGGACGGCACACTTTTTGACTGCTTAAATTGTTTTTGGCGGCTGGATTCGAGATGGCACTTTATGTCAGGTGGAGCAATTGACTGCACTTAGGTTATAAAAATAATTATCTGTCCAAGCAAATGCAAGAATGGCGATTTATTAAATTTTCGACGAATGTTCCGTCGCTGGCGCCGTTGCTATTGCTTCGGAGACGCTAGTGAGTGGAAGCCCTAATGTATTTTATGGTCGATAACTAAGCTATTATCGCCTTTGTTCTTTATATAAGATGCCGATTAAAGATACGCATGTTATACATGTAACTACTAACAAATAATTGGATTCAACTTCTAATCACACTGTAAAAAAAATATTAATACGTCATTGAACACACTGTTCGTCGTAGGTATAAGGGCCGGCAGATGGTGTATTGTTTCATTATTCACATAAACCATTTAGTATTTTAGCAAGAGAATTTTCTATTTGAAATTCAAAAAAAATACTAGGACTGGCTTCCTGTTAAGTTTGACAGTTGAGTTCAGATGCAAACTAGTTTTAGGTATTGCCAAAAATCTTTATATTTAAAAAATCACTCACAATTGAACAGTAAGGGCTACTGTCTTTCTTAATGTATAAAGATTTTTAGGTCTGGTGATATTAATAAAATTAGGTTAAACCACATTATGGAATAAGGTTATTGGATCACTGAAGTCCGCTCTTAAATAATTTTGCTGTTTCTGATGAACTTGTTTATTGTTTTCTCATTTTGGGTAGGTGTACCGGTTATTTGAAGACATGAATTTATAAAGTTATAAATAAATTTAGTCTGGGGAATGTGATTAGAACCAATTTTCCAAAGTTCTGGAAAATAATTATTTGGGTACACCTACACGATTTGTATGAATTTACTGGAATGTAGCCGCTGTTTACTATATTACTTGAGAGATAAATTAACCAATGAACAAGTTTTATTGTATTTATTTTACTCTGGTATTTACAAATTTTATTTAGTGCTCAACTATAGATATAAATTGTGCAGGCGTATTAGAAATTAAAAAAAATAGTCACTAGAAATACAAATGATTGCGAATGGAGATGTAATACAAAGATTTAGCTTAAAATATAGAGTTAACATTTAAAATAAACCATTGGTTATAGCGGAGTACTTAGTTATTTTAACATTGGTAGGTTTATTCTTTAAATTATTATAACCTTAGATTCATTTAGATTTTTGGCCAAATGAGATAAGAAAAACTCAACAAACTTAAGGTAAGAAGTAAAAATTATATTTGATTCAACTTTATAAAATTCACATTACAATACTGCTTAATATTTGATTCTTGATGTCAGCGACACCGCAAACAGGGAAGTGAACAGCCAAATTGACATCTTCATAGAGTTCCCACTATTCATGTATCCAAATCTCTTTGCTTGATGTATGAGATCTAGAACCGAGTCCATAGTCTCTTGACCGGTGGGTAGAATCTGGTCAGCAGGCAGTAAATGGCCATAGGTACCCCGATCGCGAAGCTCGTAACAGTAAACTAAAGGTACTTTAAGATGCTCTTTTACCCAATCGACACTGCTGCCAGAAGCGTGATCTAAAACGAAGAAATTTGATTATAATTACTTTAAATTTATAATAGATTTACATATTTTTATGACAGCTTTGGGAAATTCCTGTGAAAACTATAGGTACCCTTAAATTTTATTCAGTTCCAGAGTATAAACCATGGTTATTGTAATAAATAACCTCAATATTAGTTCTTAAACTTTTAATGCAATTTATACAAATATTTAAGAGGAAAAGAAAAAATATACATTCACAACTTTTTTTTATCAATTATTATATTTTTTTTTTTTTTTTATATTATACATACGAGCAGACGGCTCACCTAATGGTAAGTGATCACCATCGCCCATGGACACTTGCAACACCAGGTGTATCACAAATGCGATGCCGGCCATTAAGGAAGGAGTACGCCCTTTTTTTTAAAGGTTTTTGGGTCGTATCGGTCCGGAATCACTGCTGGCGACAACATATTCCACAGTTTTGTCGTACGTGGTAAAAAATCAATAAATTTGTTGAATCCAATTATTTGTTAGTAGTTACATGAATAAATATGCGTATCTTTATGCGTATTGTAATTCACAACTTTTTTTTTAATTTTATGCATGTAACTGCTAGATGTCTAAATCCAACGAAAGTTTTGCTAGAAAAAAATCCACTCGGTCCAGTTAGCGTATGATTAATCTATTTATTTTGTATGTGCTATTAAAATGCATTATAATAAAATTATACAATACCTTATTCAAAATGTGACTGACGTTGATTTTGCGAATACTTTATCTACTGGGTTATGGATATGTGCAACAGAAACAAATTGTCTAATATTTATTTAGAAGCTAACAATAAACAAAGAACTTACAAATTGCTTCTGCTATATTTCCTGTAGTGTATGGAGTCCCATATCTAACGGAAAGTGCTCCCATTGCACGTCTTCCAATATTAATCTAAAATGGAACATCACAATTATAAAAACTTGATTTTAATTTTGATATTTTTCGTTGATCATGGTTTCATTAATATTGACTTTCCTATTATTTAAAATTAGCTATCTCCGGGGCAATTATACATGACATTACAATTAAGTCCACCCAATGAGTATATATATATCAAAAGAAAAAGTTCATATCAGTGGTTTGTTTGTAAGTTCAAACACTATGTAGCAGTCAGTTTGAGCTTTATATGTAGACTATCCATGTTTTATTAATTTGCTAGATATTGCATCATCCTACTCATCACTGATAGTCTTTTAACCACATTGATTAAAATATACAACTTACAGCATCGTCGTAATTAGCCAACGGTTCCGTTGTATTACCGAAGGGCAATAACAGAAGCTGTCCCGAGGAGTGGAAGGATAGGTAAAGGTCGATTTTATCAGCCATAGATTGAATGTACTCAGAAAGGGTCCTGGTCTCCGGCTCTGAGAAAGGTCCCGTTCCGGCATAAGTTTGTGATGAGGGATTTGTGCTTGCACCAATTACTGTAAATATAAAATATTAATAAAAATATTAAAACTATAATTTTAACTTAGTTTATCGTACCTACTTCAGTGTAAAATTCAAAATTATTTTTTACATACCCAACCAGTTGTTATTCCAATTTCTATTGAGATCTACCCCATATATAATACCAGATGCTGTACTGATTGGACGTCTGTTTTTACGCCACATCCTAAACTGAAAATTTTAAAGACATCGCCAATTAAATAAAAAGATTTCACAATGTGATAAATGACGATGTCAACACATTTCATAGAATGTATTACCTCAGTATGAGTCCATACATAACCATCAGGATTCGTAACGGGGAATATGTACCAGTCAAAATCTCTAGCAGCGGCACGTGTTTCTTCGTTATTACTTGTCAGAAGTTCGTTAGTCATATAATTGCACACAGCTGGTGAGATCCATTCTCGGGAATGTATACCACATTCTATGAAAATTATCCTCTTTCCAGAGCCATGAGATATTTTCAGTCCCTGAATATCTCGTCCTTCAAGTGAAGTACCACCGCTTATAACACTAACGACCGATGGATGCGCCTTAGCTAAATCGTCTATCCAAGTGTAAATGCTTTCTAAAGTGTAATAAGACTCCCATCCCATGCTATTGACATTACTTCTTGTGTAAGTTCCTATGGCTTCTTTGTCGATAATTCTGAAATCCCAAAAGTATTTCAAATGATAAATAAGGGTGAAATTTTTTAAATCACAGCTTGGAAATACAATAATATTCTTTTGTTCGTTATTATATTGTATTTATTTCGCGCCGCAAAGTGAAATAATAATGTACATACATGTTCCCTATTAAATTAGTAAATTTATGTATGATTTTCACTGTGTATTTTCGATGTTTGAATGATATAAAAAGGCGCCTTGCATAGTCTATTAATATCATGTTATAATGTAACTGTATATACATTATGTTATTATTATACAAATAAAGAAATTTCAAAATTCAAAAATTTGTTCATTATTTAATTTTCATTTTTATTTAAAACAAAAAACTTACTCTTGAATATTTGGTAATGAAACTTCAAACTTTATGTCATTGATATTTAAATAGCTTTCTAAATAGGCTTTGTATTTAGGACTAGTTAAAATAGAAACTTTTTCCGCTCTGGGAACAGGATCACTCCAAAAATCGAACTTATTGTCTTCATGCAAATCTTGGAGAAGTTTTATTTGTGCTGCATTCTTTGGTAGAACTTTATACAGGCTGTAGTTATCAAATCTGAATTTTTCACTCACAGTTGATCCTACTACTAAAGCGGTATACAGTAACATTAATTTGAACCACATCTTGGATGATGTCGGTAAAAGAACTGTACATCAATGTTTAAAATATTGCGACCAAGAACCAATTATCTTTATCAATCAAAATTTTATAGTATCAATTTGATCTTTGATTACTTTATAGTTCAACAGAAGATAAAAATTGAACGATTCACCGTTTTTGTCGTAAAGTTTTGTTATAAGCATCAGTTTTTTCAGTAGATATTTAAGGGTATTATTATTTAGGTCACTGCTGATAGATTTGACCCTATGATCTACTGCCGAAAATTTAACCATTTAAAAAAATGGGCTTGAATATTTTTCTTAAAAGGTATGTACCTAATTTTTTTTGTGGCAGCTCTTAAATTTATTTAAGCTGTTTGATTGTAGTTTTTTCACTTTGTTTTCGCAGAGTTCCAACAGGATCATTAAAAAAAGTTATTTCGGAGTTAACTTGCAAGTTATTTATAATATTACCTATAAATTTTTTAGCTATTCAAAGTAGTGTAAAATTTTAAAGAAATAAGGCAAGCCAACGCTGTTTGAAGAAAAAAGTGGTGTCAGACCATAAATATGAAATGTAAAAAAAAAAACAACAAAACGACATTTTATGAAATAAAAAACATGTTTTTTTTTATTAATTACAATTCATTTAAATGGCCGCCTCTATTTTTTACACAAACTCTTATTCTTCTTTGTAATCCACTTTTCACGACCCCAGTTTCCCTCATTGTGGCAATGTTTTGCGACAGCCTGTATATTAAAAGCCATGACTTGATTATAATAAATGTCTGTATTCATTAGATAAATTTTGCAATTACTGAGATTGGAAACCAGAATCTCAAAGTAGGTGCCACCTTGTAAGCCGGTGTACATACTACTCTACCACCAACCAACAGGTCGTATGTTATTCTGTTCATACTGTAAACAATTTTCCAAATTTTCTTATTCTGAATCGGAAAAAATCCAAATGTTATCAGCTGAGGGAATAAACTCACTCCTATAAGATAAAACTTTCCAATCTTCTGCAATTTCAATCAAGCTTCGTTATGTAGAAATTTGTATAGTTTGAAGTTCAGTAAATGTTGCACTCACATCTGGTACGATTTAAGAAATGTCAAGTTGATAGTACTGAATTCAATATATTTATGATGTTCTTTATTTTTAAGCAGATTGTTTTTTATGTCAAAAGGGTGGTAAATAAGAATATATACTTGATGGTAAGTGGTCACCATAGCCTATAGAAACTTGCGATACAAAAAATATCATACAATGATAAAAATATCATTGTAAAATAATCATTGAAGTCTTATTTTATTCTGGAGAAATCTTTTAACGATTTTCTAATTAATACTTTAATTTTGAAAAGCAATATGTAAATGTTCAGCATTTGGTAAGTTTTTTTCTTATATTACCAAAACTACCTAGTATATGTTTAGCTAATACACTACTATAACCCTTTGTTGAAACCTTATCAGAAATTATTATGTGCCCGGAATAATATCCTTGTAATAAAGCCAATAAAATTTATGATCAGCGTGTACTTATCTTTATGATACGGTTCTGATAGAAAAGTACTTACGTCGTTAAATTGCTCTATCTGAAGTTATTTTATTATAGTATGTCTTCAAAATGTATAATATATGCTTTTAAAGACTGCGCGTATGGAAATATTCAATTTCTTATATTTAATTTCTTTTTTTTAATGCTTAATAGGTAAGACGTTTGACCACAATCTCGCTTCATAGAAAGCGATGAAGCCTAAGATGGTACACGCCTGCCTAGAAGGATTTATTGTCGAGTAACGACAAAATAAATAGGTAAAAAAAAGGAAAACAGAAAACACAAGAAGGTCATAGAATATATATATTTACAAGAATTGCTGTATTTGCAGAAAAGGAATATAAAAATAAGAAATTTATTGCGGTTCTATGAAGTGTGGGGTGTACAGTAAGAAGTGGTGAAGTGGGCGTGGGTCGTCGGCGATCTTCAGAGGCGGCTTGAGCGACAGGCCGTGCTGCAGGCAGATGGACGGCGCTCCTTGAAAGCAGAAGCGCTCCCGGTGAGGCGTCTCCCAATTCTTGGCCTGCGTTGTTGGTGGCTGGCAGGCGCTGCTGGTAGGTTGGCTGGCGAAGTGGTAGGACGTCCAGTGTGCTGGTAGAACGGCAGACGATGCTGATATGTGGGCCGAAGGAATTGAATGCTGGATGAAAGTGCTGGAGACCGGGCGGCACTCCCGCCGATAAGGTTGAGAATATAGTAAAGAGGATGAGTAGAGTAAAGTTTAGAGTGCCAAAGGGTGCTGTATAACTTTGAGGTCTTTGCTTGAGTCCCGAGGCAGCCGGCCGTGACAAGGCCTTTTAGTAATTTAGAGCTCGGTAGCGAGTTAACAAAAGTTACTTAGGCAACTTTTGCCTTGACTTGTGGCTTGGCCTTTTATAGGACCGGAACCATTTAAATTTAGACACAATTCGAATCGAACTAAAAAGAATCAAAGTAGGTGGTCTGTGGAGATTGAATGGGCATAGACCCAGTTGGAAAGAATATCCGTGGCGTACGCCCGACACAGAACGTTGCCATCTATAAGAAAAATATTAAGGTGTCACAAATGTCAAGAAAATAAACAAAATTATACCTTAAACTAAATAAAATCGGAGAAAAACAATGAAATAAATAAATAACAGAATATAGAGAAATGCCGCTAAGTTACCGTTGTTCTTCTGGACACTTGTCCAGCACTCTATAGTAGTATAGTGATTTTAGTAGTTGGAATCATATTATATATCCTCTACATATTTACGCAGTGATGAATAGTGCGTAATATTTTTGAAATTGTATGTTTTCAGAAAAAAAAATGGGTGCGTGTACTTATGTAGGCGCGTGAGAAGTTATCCTTCTTTGGCATCGTTTAAAATTAGTTTTTAATTGCATGCAAATAATTAATTACAATAAATTAATAAGAAGTCTGGAAAAGGACACAGTCAATAAAGTTCAGTTTTAATTTGAAAAAATAAATAAATAATCAAAATATTCAATTAAAATCGCTACTGAATATAATTTATTAGAACATATGTGATTTACTAGTTTTTACGGGTTAATGCACGTAACGTATAACCGAACGCTCAATATAAGTCTTTCGAAGGTAGCTCGACAATTTTAAATAAAAAATCATTATTCTGACGATGCAGACCTGAAAAGGCTGCGAAACGTCAATAAATAAATAAAGTTTCGTGCATTAACCCGTAAAAACTAGTTTTATTTAATGAGTGATGTGCGTGAAAACCTAAGAAACAAATATGTGATTTGCACTTGTATGAAACTCAAACACGTATTCCGAATATACAAACTAGAAACATGTGGATATTATAAATATGAATACCTATAACTGTTACTTTATTACAAAAAATAAAGATGTGGTTTTTGGTTCTACTACACCAATGGTCAAGAGATGGCGCTGTAGTCTCCTGAATCGCGCTTTTGTTCCGTTGTTCCAGATTAATAAATACTTTTTGTTACTTTATTACAAAAAATAAAGATGTGGTTTTTGGTTCTACTACACCAATGGTCAAGAGATGGCGCTGTAGTCTCCTGAATCGCGCTTTGGTTCCGTTGTTCCAGATTAATAAATACTTTTGATAGGCCTTCACAATGCAGTCGTTAGCACCCACAAAATAGAGATTCTATTTCTATTTTGTTGGTAGATTTTCTTAATGTGCGGTAAACACAAAAGTAATAATAATTTTTTGTGTTACAGTGATGCGCGCGCATCTTAAAATTTCACTCTCATCATTTTTTCATAACGCGCCTAAAGAAGTATAACTTCAATAAATATCATAAAATAAGAATGTGTTGAAATTGATGATCATATGGATGATGAAATGTATAAAATGGAACCTATGATTTCCGAAAAGACGAGTTGCCTCTGGGGTACGTTACATTATCTGTTCGGTTGCTTATAATTACTAGCACTACATTAATTGCATTTTAGTTTTCATGAATCCGGATAGTGAAATGGCAAGGCTGCTATAATTCTTCGGCCTCAGTTAGACGGAACATTGAAATTCTCTGTGATTAACTAACAATACGGCAGTTATAGTCGCGGCACGAAATTCGAGCGGTGCCCGTTATTGCGCAGAAGTAAAAATTAAGATGTCTTGGGGGGAAACGAGGTGCGCGGGTGGACGTGCGTTGCGTTGATTGGCTCTCCAGTCGTACCCATGCGCAGTTATCCCCTCCGCGTTTTGTTTAGCGCTAGAGTTACGTGCCGGGACCTGTAGATGGCGTGAAAAATTTCTTGCGGCCATCGCTCTGCTTGTGTTTAGTCATCCGAATTTATGTTTTATTAACTAGGACACTATATTCAAATTGATTTCAATTAACTAAACGAGTGTGTCAGAGCATCGCAGCCACCACCTAGCCGCCGTGTATCATATGACTGTGGCCTGAATGTCCTTGTTTCGAACCCGGTAAAGACGCTGATTCTTTTTGGTTTTTTATTAGAGCTTTAAACGCAAGTACTAAAATATGTATTTTCTGTCCAGCTGATTTGGTGGCACCACGCTCCATTTACGCTGATACTTGAGAGGTATTATGCTCACCTAAAATGAAATCATGAAACAGTTAAATAATGATTTTATTCAAGCTAAATTATAGTCACTTGAGTTAGAAAACAATACAAAACAAAAATATATGTGTTTGCTCGTAAAATTGTATAATTTTAGATCTATAATTGATATATTAATATATAATTGATATCCCTTAGAGCGACTGTCCGCAAAAGTAAATAAGGCAACTATCCTTTATAATACGGATACTTGTCCTTTTTATTTGTAAAATAAATAAATCAGAAATAAATCCGGCAAGGAAATAAAAAAAGAACTGAAACTGCAATCAGTAATTAAAATATTCAATAAAAATTACTTACCAAGATAACTTCAACGCCTGTCAAAGTTTAGCCTCCGAAGTTTCGCCGCATAAATGAACATGACACTGAGGTCTGCGGCCACTAACGTCCCTAACATAGTGAATTCAAAACCGGGGCAAGTATCCCAGTGAGGCAAGTATCCGGCTTTTATCCTCATACAAAAAACTCTTATAATGTTACCCTACGTTCTTGTGAGCTCATACTTTATTTTGGTGTTTTAATTAGAAAATAAATGGGTGCGCTCACCATACATCCCAACTTAACGAATAAACCACCATAGAAGACAGAAGAAGATTAAAATTTGCTAGAAGCATAGAGTTTCTTCATGCTACTAAAAACAAATTGGAGCAGTCCAATAAACAGTTGCCCAGTAGTACTATAGAAGTATAGTAAGTATAGATTATTAAACGCAGGTTGTAACTTGAGTGAAAAGGTTTTTTTATATTGGCTAACAAGTGTATGGCGCGCCTGATGGTAAGCGGTCATCATAGCCTATAGACGTCTGCGATACCAAACAATATCATTCGCACCGTTACCTACCCTGATCAAATCCACTCGCCCGTGGAGCCCTGGAACCTTACTCACAGATAGAAGTACAATACCACCAAAAGGCAATGTTATTTTACTGTGGTCTTCTGTATGTGGAGGTCGAATTGGAACGGAAAATCCGCTTTACCTCTTTAAATTTCGTTGCTATGTTCTCATGCTGCTAACGCAACTTTTCGTATTAATGGGAATTCACATCGCAAAAATCTTATCTAAACGACGCCAAGTGGCAGTATAAATGCAGTCTCAAAATTGTTTCCAAAGGACTGCTGCTGTGAAAGAGTTTATAAATAACACCTTGGGCTTAATATGCCTAACATTCTTTCGAGTCCTTTAATTAATTACTTCTTCTTGTTTATTTGTAAATTATTAGGCGTCTAATAACTGCTTCAGAACTATTGTCATGATAATCTAACAGACATGACCAGACAGGCCTCGTTAAGCGCTCGATATTCTCGCCTCTCGTAATCAAGGTGACAACTTGAAATGAGAGCGAAGTTCTCAGTGTCAGTCTGTCTGCATTGCGACCTGAAATCTACGTGATTGTGTGCTAACAGACAGTGCCTTTGCGGCATGTGCCCCAATCGTAATTTCAAAGCTTAAAACCAAAGCTAAAACCTTTTAGAAAGGGTATTGAATATTCAATCGTCTATCATTTTCGTATTCTGATAGGTCTACTGAAATTTTCCAATGTTTCGAAAATGTTCACAGAGCCAAAAGATAGAGAGAGAGAGAGGGTTTCTTTGCTGTTTTAAGGGCACATGCAGCTCCTTTTGGAAAGCAGTGTACCTATTGCTCTGTGGTAATGGAATTTTAAAAGTTTATACACAGAAACAATCCAATTTATAGATATTGTGGATGGAAATTGTAAATAATAATATCATTTCATTTTTTTATATTGTTTATTTTTTAAATAAGGGTAGCTAACTACCCCAAACATTTTAATTATTATTATTTACCTCTGTAAATACTAAGCAAGGCATGCACACTTTATATAGCTCAGCGCATTTGATCTGTAATCGTGGGGGTTAAAAAACTTTCACAGTGTCGGACTATGCAAAAAAGGTTTATTTAAACTTCTTAGATGATGTTTTCATGTCTGGCTTCTCTTAATAATGACATGATAGAATCGAAGGTCTCTTCGCATGACGGCAGCACTTGGCTCGGGGGAAGGAGGTAACCGTAACTACCAAAATCTCTTAGGTGATAAGTGGCAACTACTGTGACGTTGTAACGGTATTTCACAAAATCAGCAACATTCCCCGTGCTACCATCTGGATAAGAAAAAAATAATATATTAGCAATACATACTTAAATACTTTCATTTACTGATAATGACAATAATTTTGTTTATGTTTTCGGCATAGTTTTTGCATATCGTAAAATAAACATATTAATTGTCTGAGTTTTTTGAATTCAAATTATCAGATTAACAAACGAATAATGGTACCTGGTTCTAGTGATACAATGTTTAGTTACTGTTCTTTGCATTGGGATGCGATGATTTATTATTGAGAGGGTGAAATGTATCAAATAAATTTGTGGATAAATTTATAAACATGGGGAATGGACTGAGCATTCCATGTCCAAATGCCAGTTAGTTAACTGGACAGATAGAAACAAAGGGACTGTGCGGCCAATTTCGTGTAAGTAGTGGTTGCATCACTGCTTCACTCTTCCTATAAATTTGTCAAATTCATACGAGTTTCGCATGTAGTAGTAAGCTTATGAACAAATCACATCAATAAGTCCTCTGAAAGCCATCTAAAACCTCAATACAAAGATACTCGTTAAGTAAAAAAAGTAAAGCTACAAGCTTAACCTCTTCTAATTTACAAAGAGTAGACTGGAGGAGGTCAATGACGCAGTGGCTATCGCGTACTTTCCATCATTATGTAAGTTTAGCAACTCTTGCAATGGTAGATCTCAAGACAGGTGAAAAAAAAAAATATCAGTGCTTCCGAAGGCATATTAAACCGCTGGACCTCATAGTCTAATTTTCTTATTCTTTAAGGAAGGCTACAATGGGGACATTAAAAGGTTGATGATGATGTTCATCATCATCATCGACTTGGACTAACATCTACAGCTACTAGATTTTCCCTAAATATGGCTGCTATAGTGTGATGTTAGCCTGCCATTGTTCACGGGAATAAAATTTACGAGGGATATAGAATGAGGGTTTGGAATTAAACTTTACCGTGCAATAGTAAAGAGGGGCCAACTAGATATTGGGTACCATATCTTGCTGCCAAAGCTCCCATAGCACGTCTTCCAATTGTCACCTAAAAAAAACAAATCAATTAAAAGTAAACATTCAAGAAGAGGGTAATAATTTCGTTCAAAAATGTGGAAAAAGTGCATTAAGATTGCAGCACCCACCAATCTGCACTGTACCCATGTGTGTGATGGATCATGATTAGCGTTTCCAGGCATTCGGTTAAAGCCGGACATAATTAGACTTTTTAAAATAAGCGGTGTCTGGCTTGTCCGGTTTTTGTTAGGCTTTTAACATTTCGGAAACGAGCGAGGAACGGGCGTAGCCGAGCGCAAGCAAGTTGATCGCTTTATATAAAAATAAATAAATGTTTTACGTGTTATTATACCTTACCATTTGCTCGTAATTGTACATAGGAGTAGTGGTATGTGCGAACGGGATCAGCAGTCTTTGGCCGAACCCTCTGAAGGACAGATATGCCACTACGGTCGGATACAACGATTCGATGTACCGGGACATTGATCTGGTCTCCACTTCTGTAAACGGACCGTGACCAGCGTAGTTGTTGGATGCCGGATTAAAGTTGGCGCCGATGACTGAAACAGTAAATATAAGCAATTGTAAAGTTGGAAAATTTAAACTCAAGGCAAAAGGTACAGCTCGCTGAGCACAGCGCTACAGTATGGAAGCGAGAGTTGGGTATGTCAGGATGAGCATGAAAGTAAAATAAAGCAATCGAGATGCGAACGTTACGTAAAATTTGTGGAGTGACGCTCGCAGACCGCATTCATAATGCGGAATAAGAAGAGAGTTGAGGTTAAAGCCAGTAACTGTGTTAAAATTAACAGACGCAAGCTCCATTGATTCGAACATGTGAAAAGAATATCAAATTAGAGAATAAACCTTTCTGCCTCACCCGGGATTCGGTATGAAAATAGATAGATGGAATGTGCAGTTAGAAATATGATTAAGAATTTGCTACCTTATATTACAAAAATATAAAAATAAAATACTACAAAAGTATCGAAAGAAGATCTCGTGATTTTGGGGTTCATATCTTTATACAAGGTAACATCTAGCAGAAACTCTAGCATAGTCATGTTTTGTAGAATGGAACACAGTTGTAATTTATTTTAGAAATTTCTAACCTGAGCAAACTCGAGAAATCTACCTTTGTTCGAACCGAGAAATAAAAATCTCGTATCTCGAGAATTCTCGAGGATTGGAGGAGGTTTTTCGAGAAATTGTCCGCGCTCACTGCGAGCAAGATGTTACACTCACACACACCTTACACACAAGAAGTAGTTACAAATTCCCTATTGCAATTTAGTAAAGTCTAATAATTTTCTTCAGAGAGTTAATAAAAGATTTTAATCTATAAGTACATATAGCAAAATTTTAAATATAAACTATATTCTCCCTTATTAATAAACGAGGAATAAGTTTCTACTAGTTAAGCTGTGTTTTGTCCTTATCACTTAAATGCCATTTGTCATTGAACAGAGACAATTCATGGATTAGCTAATCCAAGCTTATTATGCGTTTATTATAAAGGGGGTTAGCGTTGTTGAGGTACTACCACCCTTAGTAATCTGTTTCTATTAGTTATTACTGTAATGTTTCTGTTTAATTTAATCTCAAAGTTCCAATAAATACCAATAAAATATTATTATACTAGCAATAGCTTGATACTTAAGTTTTTATGTTTTTAGAGATTCTAGTGTTCCTTCCTTGTGAGTATTAAGATTTGATTAAGTTTTTCTGTTTTATTTTTTAAAGTAAGTGCAGTTGGAGGCAATAAAAATGCGTTTCTTCTGTGATTATTAAGAGTTTATTTTCTTTAAAATTTATTACTTGTTATAGAAAATTATGTCTTCTTTGAAAACCTCGAGACTCGAGAATTCGGCCTCGAGAGTTTTCGAATGAAAATAGTTCGAGAAATCAGAAACCTTTATTGATACTCACAATAATTAGCTCAGTTCCAAAATAAGCACAGTAAGCCTGGGTTATGGGCTACTAAACATTTATGTAAATACATAATGTTATAACATTAACAAGTATATTTCTGTAGAAATATTTGTAAGCACACATAAAGGCATACTTTGAAAAATACATACCTCCCCATTGAGAATTCCAGTTCCTTGTTAGATCGACGCCCAAATTTGTGCCAAAGGTTGGACTCCTGTTTTTGGTCCATAGTCGAACCTAAAAATTTATTTGTTCAGCTTATTAAAATTTAAAACTAGCGATTGCCCGCGACATTGCCCGCTTTAACTTAAGTTTTTTGAAAATTCCCTAGAAACCAAAAAAAAAATGGTTCATTTTTGCTTCTAAAGTCACCCTAAGCTGTTGGTCCTAGCTGCATCTGCAGTCGTTAGTACTTATGAATCCATGCTAGGCCCGAGTGATGGGTTACACCTTGTCTCCCGCCCCATTCCATTTATTGGGAAGACTGTACCACAACAATGGTCCCATAGATAGGCTAAGCTTAACAGTCTGATCTGTTGATTGATACTGGCAACAGAAAGATGACTCTAGTGCTATCCTAGCACTATTTAGATCTGGTTTTCGGTAATATAAGAAGAATGTTTTTTCAGGTATACTCTCTAGCAAATGATTCACACACTCTACAGTTATCTTAAACTATTTGTAAATAAGCTTACTGAATCTTGTGAGAATTGATGACCGTCTGGATTCAGAATCGGAAAAATGTGCCAGTCGAAGTCTTGCGCAGCAGTTCTCGCGTCACGATCTTCACCTCGAACTAGTTGATCAACCACGAACGTCAGAACTGTTGGCGACAACCAGTCTGCTCCGATCTGACCCCCTTCGAGTATGATATTGCGCCCACTTGATCCTCTTGAAATCCTTATGCCAGTGATGTTTCTGCCTATAAATTATATAAAATTTCCAGATTTTAACGAAGTACATTTTTGCGTCACAATAATTTATTGGTAGGTAAAATCGGTGTTTATAGTGTTTCAGCGTGTGTGTAATGGTGGTGTTACCAGTCCTAAGTAGGTTTATGACAAAGGAGCGTTTTATGCTACTGTCAAAGAGTAAGGGTTTTCACTTTATAGTCTAAGTAATATGTATTGATTACCTTCATGAGTTGTCCCGAGTTGTATGATCGAAACGAAACTATGTTGTGATGCTAATTCATGGAACCATCCGTATATTTGATCGATTGTTTGCTGGGCGGTCCAGTGCATCCCATCGTCGCGTTTTCTTCTACTGTTTGCTTGGGATTCAATTGCCCTAGAACAATTGTTAATAATTAGGCTTCTTAATTCAGGCACATTGAAATATTATTGAAATTTTATGCTTTTAATGAAGTATCCGAATGCTGAATAAAAGTCTTTTGAAGGTAGCTCGACAAAGTAAATATAAATCATTATTCTGACGACGCAGCCTGAAAAGGATGCGAAACGTCAAAAAAGTTATAAAAAATAGGTACTCACTCCTGAATATTAGCTAGCATTAAATCCGATCGAATGTTCCGTTTTGCCAAAGTGTGTTCGAATTCATTCCTCAACTCTGGAGGTGCTACAATACTTGCATAATCACCAACACGCTTCACAGTCTTCCAAAAATCATATCCTATGTTATCTTGTTCAAGTTTATTCAGGAATTTGATATGTTCTTCATTCTGTGGATGCACTTTGTACAAAGCATAGTCGTCATAACGAACCTGCTGTGTAGACGCAAAAGCTATCACACTATTAAGTAATAAAAATGATCTTAACATTTTCAATAGCACAATTGTAACTGCTAAATGGTTAGAAAGAAATATAGGGTTATATTTTTATCAAAAAATTACACATTTTATCAAATAATCTAGTGATTACAATTCCTTTGCCTACAGCGTGTATGATAGAATGTTGTTTCGCTATACACAAGTAAAATATTTCTGTTAGCGATACGAATATTAACATTTTATCAAATTAGTAATTATCATAACGTTGATAAAACACTTGATTGGATTCAGAATTCATAGTTGAAGTAACTCATGTAGCACATTGTTCTCGATTCTGAATTCTTTATAAAATAAATATATCAGCTATATTAAATAATGCTAAGTTTTTAAATGGTGATCCTGTGCAACATTTTGCTCCACTGAATCAAATTAGTTAATAACCACGTTAAATTCAATTTTAATAAGTGCTACATACGAGTATATCATAATTCTAAAGATTTTGACTGATTCATTGAAATGAGAATAAAATACAACTATTTCTAACACTCGCATGAAACAGCCTAGCCCAATAGTAAGCGTTGTAGAGTTTGTGTTATGGGGTACTGAGATTAACGTTAACGGTTAGATGTAAATGACACGAAGACAAAAATTATGTTATAGAAATATATATAAGTCATAAATTTGGTTCAAATTCTCGTATTCATCATTTGCGCCACCGGAGTTTGGACCTAGGTCCTCCGGATAGGCGACACCTTCAAAATCGGTGTACGCACCACTCTCCACAGGGTTCATCAAAATTGTGGTGAATTAATTGAAAACATCGTTAAAACTTATTAATAAAAACGCACTTATTGTATATGACCTTTCTAGTTCTTAAGCAGCTTAATTCAATATAAAATCAGTGAAATCACTGATAATAACAAAATTATATACTACCAAAAATTAATTTAAATTGTATTAACAAACGATAAATTCAACATGAAAATTTTATATTTTAATTGGAGCTTATTATGAACACATTACAGTTCAATAAATAAACTCGCGTCAAATGGGGTTGCAGCATCACAGTGACAATACATTATGGGTAGCACGGCGCAAATTTACGAGATTGATCATCCCCAAGGTAATTACTGTGAAGCTGAACTCGATCAGTAAGTAAAATAACAACAGAAGGTACCTATACATATACCTATTACCTTTTTTGTATTTTTAATGGTGGCGATTCTAAAAATACAGGTTTCGGTAAATTGGCCAATATCGAGTGAAATTATTTGGCAAATAGGTAAACAATCTTGGAATTAATTAAACGCAGAGATGCAGTAACTTGGTAGAATATTTTATCAGATGGTTGATTGTATAAAGAGTATAAGGAACTTGGTAGTATGGCAATCATCAAACACATCGTCTCAAGCAACCATTCAACATTCATTTCACACTTAAACCTAAACCAGGCACACACCTCTCAAACTTAACGCAAGAAAATGGCTTAGTAAAGATTACTGCTTGATTATATCCAGTGGAGACATATTCAGACTGAATCAGCTTTTCAGTGACACAATGACAAACGAAGTGATAATGTATGTCAACGTACTTCGTGCGCTTATGAGCAACAGGGTTATTTGCCAAAGTGTTGGCACTCTGGTTATTGACGAAGTACTTTACATTATTGGCGCCCATACCTTTAGTAATGTAGTTGAGTAACCTTTGTCAGTTGACAGCTTCCTTCGATGCTTCTGACAAAGCTACAATCTCCAACACTGTCGATGACAGCGCGACCCAGCTCTGATTTCTGCTCCACCAAGATATTATATTCCCATCTACTTTGTGTATGTGTCAGGAGTATGATTTTCGGTCTATTACATCTCCTCCCCAGTTGGTGTCTACGTAACCTGTAATAAAACAGTTGTTACTGTTCCGTTTTGATATTCGAAATTTAAGCCCAAGTCACGAGTTATTTTCAAATAACGAAGAAGTCGCTTGGCCGCCTTCATATGTACAGACGTGCAACATTAATTATACTGAGCTAAAAAGCTCACCGCGGCTGATATATCTGGCCGTGTATTACAGACTAAAAAATTCAATGCACCTACCAATGACTGGAATCGCAATTGTTTTTGGCTGTTCATCTCCTCACCAGCCCCTTCTGCTAAAACGTTGTCAAGATCCAGTTCCAACGGGGTTATCACTGGTTTGTATTCATCCATATCGTGTTCTGTGAGAATACTTTCAATGCACTTCCTCTGATGTACGAACATTGACATTCGAAGCAATTCTAAGACATCACTGTGCTTCCCCTAAATCCTTTACTTTATAGTGTTTTCTTGGGCGGTCTAATACATTTTGTTCTAATACTGACAATACACTTTAAAATCGTCGATGAAAAGACTTATAAAATATTTTCTCTAAAATATAAACAACTATCAATTTCACACCGTATAAACGACATTGAAGTACCTATGGCTGGCGGTTGATTGTGTAAACACTATAAACAACTTGGTAGACCCTCCAACAATGGGCAATTGACTAAAAATATCAAAACAATAAAAAACAAATTCCCTTTCAGGAATACTAAGGCACTCGACATGTTATTCAAGGTCAAGTATAGTAGTACCTGAACAGTTGGTTCTTCAATAAAGATCTAGTCATTTTGCGATATAGTATTTAATGAAGGTTAGTCACACTGCGACCTAGACACCCTGAGGTCAACTGAAACATCTAGCCATAACCAACTATGTGGGTTCAGTGCAATTAGTGAGTGCTAAAGACTGCTAACGTAAATCGCTTATCTATTCAGAAACAAAAGTTGCTGATTATATTATTGTGGTACAAAAACCTGGGGCCTAAGGCATTTGTCATAATTATAATTTGTAACACTACGTGATATACCATTTTGGACACATTAATTATTCGCCAATATAAATTTCAGCTATAAAATTTAGTTCACGCTGAAGCGCCAATCAAGTACTAGCAATTATTATCTATGGGTCCAGCTCTACCCAACATTTAAAATTTTAACGTTGATATTTTGACAGTTGACCGCGCGCGGCCATTTTGTTTTGCGGAAATTAATGGCGATGGAACAATGGGGTGACAGCATTCGCTGTCCAAATACTCTGTGTTTAATATGTGAACGGTTATTATTTACTTTAAATTTAATATTGTGCTAAACTTGTATAATTGTGAACATTTTAATGTTATCTGTTTACCTCGATATGCGACCTAGAATTGTCTCCATAATTGCATATAAATTTTGCCTCTGGCTTCTTCTCATTTATCTATTTGCTAATTTAGTACACACACACAATGAAATAGAGAAGAAAAACAGATAAAAGAGATTTTTACATGGGCACAGTTTACTTCAGAGTATGATATGAATTAAGGATATATTAAAATAAATGAAGGATACTGCTGACAAACTAAAAAAACGACCGAGTGCGTGTCGTGCCACGCGCAGTGTAGGGTTCCGTAGTAGCCTGTAGTTACCACAATATGTTTGAGCAGGAGTATTTATTTTCTATATTTAAATTAGAAAAACCAATTAATATCAATTTATGTAACTCAACTGAAATACCTTAATCAAAGTCAAACTACGTCTCAAACTCGATATAAATGGGATATTATATTTTTCTTAAATACGAACGATAACTGCCGATTTTTTTTGTTTCCTCCCAGACAGAAGAGCGGGTGTGAAATCCTTATGGATGCTACAACCGGCTGTAAAGTTATGTCAGATTCTTACTGACTAAAAGCTTAATCTGAAGCGATTATTCCCTGAGAAGGGAAAGATGCAGTATAACCGTCGATCTTTTCAAGTGCTTAAATACTGTTTATGAAAACGTAACGTTAGCGCGACTCAAAAGCCGTTACTGTTACGTTACGTTAAAGGACCTATTCATCGATATCCCACACGATGGAGTAGATGATCAAAAAAAAAATCATCCCCAGGTTACATGTTAGCTATCCTAAAAAATATTTATCAAAATTCGAAAAAAAATATTCGCCCATTTTGTCGGCGTGATCGATATACATATCTCCACAAAATTACAGTTCTCTGGCGCTAGTAGTCTCCAAGCTAAACCGGGGACGGACAGACGAAACTATAGGGATTCCTTGTCAGGACTGCAGAACCCTAAAAAAAATGGTTGCCTGTAAAGTCGGTTTTACGGGCGAAGATTTTACGTGACAACGTCTTTTTCTCGGTAGAATATTTATTGATATGAATATAATTAAATTGCACAATAGGAACAAGGAATTGAATGAAAATAAGAATTGCACAAATTTTAACTATAGAAATATATTTTGTTTACTAAAACATTGTACATGTAAACTTAAACTTAACACGAGAGACTCATCGTAACGTTACCGAGCGTTACACTTTTTCATAAGTGACTCCCAGCCGCAACCTAATTTAAGACGTTGTCACGTCAAAAGGAATTACGAATAGCCATTTAAAGTGATATCATGACCTACCCCTTGTTTACAAGAAGGTATAATCCAAATACTTGTATTTAACAAATTTTATACAATATCTTATTTTTTGTTCACACTTAAATACATTTATAAAACATGTACTATACAATACTTAATCCAACTTGTTGGATAAACAAAATATGTGAAGTAAATAAGTGATATAAACTTGTAAAATACTAAAGTTGTCTATGCAGTGTTAAGGAAAGAATGTTTGAAACAGCCACAATAAGTATTGTTTAAAACTAGTTTATGACTTAGTAGAAACGAAGGGTACGAATGTAGATAAATTTTTAACTCCTGCCATCTGAACCTAAGCATACATAATAACGACATTATTACAACATCCTCGTTTCAATCTTGCAAATTTATCGTTAGCTATCGTGTGCTAACGTGCACAATTTTTCAAAACATCCCCCGACATCGTTCCAATATACGTACTATCAGCCAATTTGATTCCTGGCCCACCCTTATCTTATTTTCTTACATTATTCCAAACTGTTGAAAAACAATAAGGTATACTTTCACTTAAATTTGCGTTTGCATGGAAACAAACTTGTTATTTACTGAACAATCCTATTGGA